GGGCCTACCCTTGGGAAGCCTAGGGCCTTGGGTAGGGCCTACCCTTGGGAAGCCTAGGGCCTTGGGTAGGGCCTACCCTTGGGAAGCCTAGGGCCTTGGGTAGGGCCTACCCTTGGGAAGCCTAGGGCCTTGGGTAGGGCCTATCCTTGGGAAGCCTAGGGCCTTGGGTAGGGCCTACCCTTGGGAAGCCTAGGGCCTTGGGTAGGGCCTAGGGTAGCCAAGGCCCCCGGTGATCTATACCGCCCCGAAGTTATTCGCACTTCGCGCTTCGCGCAGCGCGAAGCGCAAAGGTGGGAGCTCTTGAAGACGGATCTGTAGGGCAGCTGGGCCTCTGGTTATGGTGGCGGCGGATCTCTGCAGCGAGCTTCGGCCGTGGTCGGTTGGCGACGCGAGGGGCCGAGGCCGAGCAAGGGCGACTCGGACTCCTGGCTCCTGAGGGAGTTTACTGCCGAGAGTCGCCGGTGCTGAAGTCAATCCATGGCTCCGCAGACGCAGGAGTTCAGTTTTCCGAATCCAGCATGTCCGCTGGCGGCAGTCCCTTGCTGAGCCTTCTCATATAATCAGGAGGGGAAAAATCACACAGACACAATTAATCGCCGATTCCCAGAAAATATAGGAAATTATCCCTGCAAAGCAACCTAACAGCGATGTGTAGTAGGAGCATATCTGGAAGCATTCCCCTTCAGATTCAGATGAGAATCCAGTTGTAGAATTCTGCTGTTCTCGCAGTCGTAGTCGCATTCGCGATGACAGTCGCAGTGGCATATAATATCAAAAAACGGCAGTCGCAGTCATAGCTCAGCCTCAGCCTGCCTCACATCAGCCGCCTCAGCCTCAGCCAGCCTGCACGCACAGCCTCAGCCTCATGAGATCTGATTCAGCTCAGCCTCCACGTCTGCCCCGTGTGTGTCCTAACGCGACTTCAGCTTCAGCCTGCCGCAGCCTTCAGCTGCAATCAGCCTCAGCCTCAGCCTGCCTCAGCATCAGCTTGCCTCAGCCTCAGCCTCAGCCTGCCTCAGCCTCAGCCTCAGCCTGCTTCAGCCTCAGCCTCAGTCTGCCTTCAGCCTCGGCCTCAGCCTCAGCCTGACTCAGCCTCAGCCTGCATCAGCCTCAGCCTCAGCCTCAGCCTGCCTCAGCATCAGCCTGCTTCAGCCTCAGCCTCAGCCTGCCTCAGCCTCAGCCTCAGTCTGCTTCAGCCTTAGCCTCAGTCTGCCTTCAGCCTCGGCCTCAGCCTCAGCCTGCCTCAGCCTCACCCTGCATCAGCCTCAGCCTCAGCCTCAGCCTGCCTCAGCATCAGCCTGCCTCAGCCTCAGCCTCAGCCTGCCTCAGCCTCAGCCTCAGCCTGTTTCAGCCTCAGCATCAGCCTGCCTTCAGCCTCGGCCTCAGCCTCCGCCTGCTTCAGCCTCAGCCTGCATCAGCCTCAGCCTCAGCCTCAGCCTGCCTCAGCATCAGCCTGCCTCAGCCTCAGCCTCAGCCTCAGCCTGCCTCAGCCTCAGCCTCAGCCTGCTTCAGCCTCAGCCCCAGTCTGCCTTCAGCCTCGGCCTCAGCCTCAGCCTGCCTCAGCCTCAGCCTGCATCAGCCTCAGCCTCAGCCTGCCTCAGCATCAGCCTGCCTCAGCCTCAGCCTCAGCCTGCCTCAGCATCAGCCTGCCTCAGCCTCAGCCTCAGCCTGCTTCAGC